TTTTTGTGTTTTTTGTTCCCCCCCCCTTGGCTTTGCCTTAGCCGGCCACAGCAAAATTCGCTGCCCAACTGTTGCAACTTGGACGTCCAAGGGCCTCGTGTCATCACCGTGCATCCTTATGATGGGCACCGTATATACCAAACGTTGGCCCATCCGTGTGAGGTGTGCCACTGGCGCGCGGTGGAGCGATTTCTAATACCCTGAGAAATAGACCCTAGATGGGGATGGCCCGTAGTGTGGCCAGGTTTGGCTGGTGGACTGGCCAGCTGTTCTTCGATAGGCCGGTAATGGGTAGGTAGTACAGTCAAGACGCTAAGAGTAGGGCCTTTTAGTGTTCAGGAGGTGCACTTGTTTTCGTGCCCTTTCTTTGACCTAGGTCGGGGTATTTGGTTCGTGGCCGAGGCTCGCCATGGGCACAGATGCCCCTGCGCCCCTCCACTCAGCATCCTTAGTGCTAGCACGACGACTCTAGTTGTAGCGCGTCGTCAGAGGAAGGCGAGGAGACGCTGCAAAACCATGGGGGTCCCCTCCGGCTTGGAGGCTCACGATGCCGCCCCGAGTTGGGGACCGAGGAAGCCTCGAGCGAGAGGGGAGCCAACACAGCCGGGAGCACTGGTGGTCGTGGCGCCGCCTCGTTGCCCTTGCTATCGGGAGCCTTGGCGTTGGCCGGCCGACGCGCTTGGCTCTGGCTCGGCGGCGCGAGGAAGCAGAGGCGGCAAGACTTCGGAGAAGGCGGCGGGGCTCCTCCAGCCCTCCGAGAAGCCCTCCGCGGCTTCGGGGGAGGCTCCAAACTACTGTGGAGGCCTGACGGCCGGTGCCGCCGACCCTCTGAGAAAATCGACGCCGACCAGGAGGGTGAGGAGGAGGAGATGGAGGAGAAGGAGGAGGAGGAGGAGGAGGCGGAAATAAGGAGGAGGAGGAGGAGGAGGAAAAGGACTTCCCCCTGGGCCCCCCTCCCTGGGGAGTAGGACCGGGGGAGGACTGGCGTGGCAGAGGGGAGGAGAGGGGGGGGACTCCCAGGGACGGATGCGTATCTGACTCCCCGCCCCCCCCCTTTGGACTTCTCCCCACTTGGGGAGGAGGACCCGAGGAGGACCGGCGCTCCGGAGAAGGATCAGCGTGGGAAAGGAGGACCCCCAGAGGCGATGCGAATCTGATGCCCCCCCCCTCCGGGACCCCCCCCCGCCGGGGAAGGACAAAGGGAAGGGGTTTCCTTTTGACGTAATGAGGACGTGGACGGAATTCACTCAAGCTGCAAGCCCGTTCCCCGAGCGAGGAAGGGTGTTTTTTTTTTTTTTTTTTTTTTTGTTCTCTCTCTCTCTCTTCTCTCTTTTTTTTTCTCTCTCTCTCTCCCTCTCTCTCTCTCTCCCCCGACGGGAGAGGAGGATGGGAAGGAGAGGACGAAAGAAGGCTCCCCGTCGACGGGACCGAACAGACACCCCACACACGCCGACAGGGCCAGCGTATTCTCAGAAGGCCGGAGGCCTTCCGAGCCCACGGAGAAGGCCTTGCCCACTGGAAGCGTCGTCGAGCTGCAGGGTGTCAGCTGGCCGACGCGCTCTGCTCTGGCAGAAACCCCCTCTCAGGAGCGACGTCAGGGGGCATCGCTTGGACGTGTGCCGCATTGTCCAGGCGAGGGCCTTCGAGGCGCATGCTCGACCATCGGGCCAAGAAGGTCCCGCACGAAACCGAGACATGCACAGGGAATGGACGTCCGAGCGACGGCGAGGGGGGGGCATAGGCTCAGGGGGGGGCGCATCGATCGCCAATGGCCCACGGATGGCCGCTGGGGGTCGGAGGGCCCACCCTGCCCACGGGCAGGCAGATTCGCTGTTTGGGGCCGCTCTGTCGGCGATGCATCGCCGATTCCAAAGTCGATGCCTCCTCGCCTGGGCTGGTCCCCCCTATCGTTGCCCATCAGTCGGTTCGTCGTCGGCGGCGTCGTCGTCTCTGCCGTCGCCGTTGCCATCGTCGTCGTGCGGCGCTGGCGTCGGCGTCGTCGTCGTGTCTGTCGCCGTCTTCGGTCGTCCGTCCTCCGTCGTTGTTGTCGTCCTTGCAGGCGTCGAGCTCTCGTCCCTCTCATCCCTCTCGTTCCTCTCCCCCTCGTCGTCCTCTTCCTCTCCGTGCTCCTCACCCTCCCTCTCTTACCCTTCCTCTTCCTCCTTATTCTCCTCGCTCGTCGATCCTCCTCCTCCTCCCCCCTCTTCCTCCTTCTGCTCCTCCTCCTCCTCCCTCGCATCCTCTCCTCCTCCCTCCCCTCCTCTCTCTCCTCCTCGCCTCCTACCTCCCCCCCTCCGTGGCAGAGGTCGGCAGTCTCACGGAGAAGATCGTGCAGGCGGGCAAGCGCAGGGAGGACCTGATGCAGCAGGTGGCCTCCAGGCGCCCGCCCGCCGAGCAGGGGGCAGGAGGCACAAGAGGAGGAGGAGGAGGAGGAGGAGGAGGAGGAGGAGGAGGAGGAGGCGGAAGGGGAGGCGGTGGAGGCGGAGGAGGCGGAGGAGGC